TTCAATAAGACTAAAACCGACGTTTTTTGATCGGCCACAATTCAAAGTATGCAGCCACTCGTGATTCGTATGTTTTTGAGCGAAACTTAATTGCATATCAGATTTAGAACGTTGATATTTCATTCGAAATATTAATATTTCAAATGAGATTTGAAATATGAAGCAGATTGGATGAACACCACTCACAGCGATATGCGATACTCGAACGTTGCAGATGATATTGTCACGAATTCCGATTGTTTTCGCATAGGCACTCATGTATTTACGGATCACTTTGGATGGTAGACGTGAACAATGCGTATCAGCACCGAGCCAATTCGAAGTCGAGAACGCCGGCAAGTCCAGATAACTTCCAACACTAACAGCGACCATCTAAATTTTGTGCATTTGCAATTTTGTTATTGTGCAAAATATCTCATGAATCAAGAAATGGAAATTTGTTCAACCGTTCAATTGCCGCGGCAATATTAATTGTTTCAGTGAAATTGAATTTCCACAATCCGTTGGGTTTCCTTAAGCTTTCCAAAACAAAACAGTATAAAGTAAGTGTAAAATATATCTCTCTCTTGGTAGCAGTATAAAACCGAAAGATGAGTTTCTTCATTTTATGAGTGAGAAATGAGAATTTCAGACATATAAATGCTAGTGTGCGGTTCACTCGTGCAATAGGGCTCTTCGATACGTTTGAGATCCAGCAATCGGTCGTAGTGTGTACTTCACAAATGTGTTCCAAACTCTTAATTTGAATGCTTTAAGGACCATATTTTTGGGAACAGATGTGGCAACATTCACGATGCACGAAGATGGCTCTCAAAAGATAACCTCTCCATCGTAATCATTCCATGAGCCACCGATATTGGTTTCACCGAGGACAATGTGCGGAACGGCTCTTTGTGGATCACATTCCCAACGCAACAATGAGCTTCTTGTTTTGCCCATATCCGCTTCTGGACGTACCAAACTGTCGAATAGTAACGGCATTGGACGTGCCAAATAAGCGCTCAATTCGATGTCTTCGCTCAACCAACTCAAATCCTTAAATGCATTTTATTGTAGATGTGTTTCATTCCGAGCATTTTTTCGATCACAATGCCCTCTTTAAAATCTGACTTTATTAATTTTGTTCCACAGTTTTTTGTTACTTCTCATAAAGCATTCGCAGTATCGATTACAACGAAGTTGTACAATTTATGCCAAAAGACATAAATTGTCAGACCAGAATAACGAATTGTGATTATATTACAGGAAATCGTAAATATTTAGATGCTGTCAAACTTTGTCGCAGTCATTTGAAATTACCGCCTACTCAAAGAAAACCACATGAAAATTTGCACTCATCCAGAGAACATTCTATTCAACTCTAGTCAATGAAGACAGCAGCAGCATTTACACCGAACAACTGTGACAACTGTGAAGAAAGTTGTTGATAATGATGCCGATATTTGAAAACCAAGGGAAAAAATCAATTGCAAACCCCGCAAGTATTCATTTCATTTGTATTATGCAAGCAAGTCAATTTCTCTTTCTTTTCAATCGGAATCATTTGTGATAACTATTCTCAATAACAAATTTAACCAGATGCATTCGTTACGCTAATCGTAAGCATAACAATACGCATATGAAATACCGTATGAGTGCAAGCATGCTTCGTGAACAATGGCCGATGTGTGAGGGGGATATGGAAAAGAAGTGATCTCTGAGTTAGTCAAAAATCAATACATAAATCTAGTTGTGTGCTCAGCTATATCCACTCATTCCATGGCTCTCGCTCATCATTCTGAATGCATATGAATGTTTATGTGAGCATCTATTTGCATAAATTTGCCATGAATAACGATATCACAATTTGATTATCATAAACTATAAACTATAAAGGCACAAAAAGTGTTTTCGTTCTGTTACTGCGTCGAAAACAAGAGGATACTGGAATTTGTGCGATTTTGAAATGCTGACAACTGATGAGTGGTAATCACTCAAAACAAAAAACAACTCATTCAAAAAACAATCAGCTAAATTAATCAGGAACTCAGCACACACTGGTACCAAAGCATGTAGGTGCATATATCGTTATCACGAAACCATATTTTTTGGCATTTGAAAAATTTCTCTCGCACTCAATATCACAACATTATTCGTTGGACATTGTTCACAATTACAAAAAAAAGACTGATCTCTAAATTTTTATCACCACATCAGATAAGAAGAAAGAATAAGAACAATAACCCCGAAAAAAAAACAACGATCCTGATAAGACAGAAAACGGTTGAAAATTGTCACGAGATAATGGAAAGGAGAATGGGACGAAAAACCGTAAACAATAAACACTGAATGTATTTTTTCGGAAGAAAAATGAACCGTTCAATTTATTTCGGAAAAAAGCCGGTGCATAATATAAATGAAAATCATTGCATATCGCGCAAGATTCAATGGAAAATAGACTGAGAGACGAAGAAAGCAACAGAGAATCAGGAAATAGAATTGAGATCATTCGTAAAATTTTGCTGTCACATCAAAAAGTGGAACGCTTTTTTGCCAACTCGTCCAGAAGCACTTTTGCGACCATTGATAAATGGACGAGTGCTTGAGAAACGATGGAAAAAAAGAAACGAGAATGTCTGATTGTGATCACGTGCATTCACAAAAAAAACGTCAAGAAAATTTCAATATGAAAATCAAATCAATAGCTGAAAATCATGAAACTGTGAAAATCATGAGACGAGTGGTGTAAAATTCAACAAAGCAACGATAGTTCTCAAGCAAACAAAAAATTGCAATTGCAGATGAACACTCGACAATGTGAGCATCTCTGTCTGTAATTTGTTGACGACACAATGAAATCACACATCGATGAAAAACAGAACAATTTCTGCGAAAGTGCATCAATTGCGAAGGAATTCAACTCAAGACGGTGTCTAGAGCTGAATCGATATTGACTCAAGAATAAATATTGGCAGAAATGAATCAAGAAGTGAAACGAACCTGCTCAGTGAGAGGCTCGTCGATATGTTCAAGCAGTTTTTCATGAACGAACAAATTCGGATGTGGTCGTTGAGGATTGTAGAATGGCATCCAACCGGACAAGAATGCCGACAACGACAGACCGGCTGGACCATTTCCTGAAACAAAACGCAAGTGTCAAATGGAAACTTAACAATTCATCGTACTCCTNTCCTAACAGATTTCATACCGATTCTGGACAAATTTGCGAGAATTGCCGTTTTTTGCGAGAAATCGCCTACAGCCAAAAAGAACTTCAATATTCGCCAATCAGGCTGTTTGATGATTGCAGATTGAAGTTGTCTTTTACGAAATTCAAGACACCACCACCTCACTGAAGGTAGCTCTGATTTTGATGGGCTCTATCAGTTCAAGTCCTTCTCAAGGCAATGAAGAATTAGAAAGTAAATGCGAAAAAGAAAATTAGAAATTGGCGCTATCGCCCACAAAAATCTGGAATTCATCTAAACCAATTGGAATGACAATGGTACTTTCTTAACAATGCTCCAACCATTGCAAAAAGTCGTCTGATGATGAAGAGCAATACTGGAAGACGAAATTATACGATGGAATCAAAAAATCAAAGTACAACAATGTGTTTTTTCAGTTGACTAAAACGACAAAGTAATTAACCATTGAAGATGTTGAATTGTGAAAAAAGGAAGAAGTATTGACTGATGAAGAGAAGCGCTATTGAGAAGCGCAATAATTGTTCTATTGTAATGGTGTAATGAGCCGTTTCGTAAACATTTCTGGTAACATTTCATTGAGAATTTCAGTATCTCACGAGAATATTCATAGATATTCTTTTAAACCCAGTATTGAGTCAACAGAGATATTCGATATTCTTTCATGTCTTATGCTTCAAGTGAGAACGAATGCTTTTTTGTACTAAGCATCTATTACAGTTCAAATAAAAAGTTGCTTGAATACACACCAACGATGTTTATTCATACATTGCAAACGAACATTTTTTCATGATAATGGTTTCGCTTACGATTAGTCAAAAAATTTACTCACAATCAGCAAATTTCTCGTTAAGATGATATTTGCATCCATGGGTTTAATCGATTATACTGATTACGTTTGATTCATTATTGACCCCGAAAGAATTCTAGCCTAGTGTTGTTGGTTGTTTTCAACAGTTATTGCGAGCAACTGCACGCACATTCATTCGATTAGTCGGAGTGTACTTTTGTTCACTATAATTTTGAGTTCCCATTCCTACAAGATATTGGGCAGCATAAGAAATAAGCTCTACAAAGTAATACTCGCCGAATCCACAGTCGAGATCAAAACATCGTGGAATGTGTGGAGAAAGGATATCGGTATACGGAATTGTGTGGGGATAGGATGTCGGTGAGGTAAAAATGGAAAAATGTGATATTTTTAGCAAAAGAGATGCATAAATTTTATATGCGAGGTTGTTTGTTTTATTCGTTATCATTGTATTAACATACGCGATATTTGTTTGTATGAAGAAACGAGTGTGCAATTAAGGATTACCTTATAACGTCACCGCAATCGATATCACTGATTAAACGATTAAACAACTGCACACTTAACTATTCGTGCTGTTCATCCGAGATCAGCATCGATCGAATATGATTAGATATTATAATTGATTTCTTGATATTCATCAACAAACTGTTTCTATTCATCAATTAATTTTTTTCATCTAGCAGTCTTGTGCCACCTCTTTGTGCCCACGACGATTGAATTTCCGTTTTATTTCTGTGGACTTTGCTCCAGCAAGTGCTACATAAATTTACTCAGAAAGATCCACTGCTGTATCTGACAGAAAACGACGAACTTGTTCTGTAAGTAGTTTTGCAAATATTTTCCAACTCATTTTCTAGCTTTGAAAAACAACAATTTCAACAGTGCACTGGTTTATTTTTCGACGAGCCAGACCAATCTCTCAAATGCATCGCAAATTCTAGCACAAATCAAGCTAACGATAAAAGTCCCACCAAAAAAACGTGAAAAAAAGCACTTTCAAGTGATCAACGGAATAGTATAAATCAATTCACCACTCTACTCACTTTATCGTCATATGTCAACACTTAAAAAATTTTGGTAAACAAACATCTAACATTCATCGATAACACTGCTAATGGTTCAGAAAAATGTTCGTAGTGCAAAACACTTCAGAAATGCTTTGGAGTTTTCTCAGAGTTAAGTGCTTTAATGATGAATACTTGCGGTGCAATGCTATCAGCTTCTACTAACTTACTCAAATCAAAGCTGTTGACTTTGGTTGAAGAAACATTTGCAGTTACAAGTCAGAAGAATTAGAATGGAAAGAAGTGACACTGAATAAAACAATCATTTGAGCGTTTAATATGTTTCATCTTAATTTGATTTGGTGTTGAATTCGTTTCAATTCGCTTCGTTTCTTTTCAGATTATATTCACTTGTTTCAGATTAGAAATCCACAAAATTCAGTATGATCGGTGAAATGAGTGAGTGGAGCTTTAAAATGATAATTTGGAGAATTTTTCGAATAAGGTGAAAGATGATTAATGATGGGGATAAACTTTAGGTGGAATAGAACTAATGATTTCGAATAGTGCAGCGT